GGCGTCTGTCGTCGTGAACTTGGCTCAGTAACCCAAGAGGTGCAGAAAAATTGATGGACCGCAAATAATCAATCAATAGGACCAGGCTGATTTTTTTTTTTTGGTGTTCGGATTGATCAATGAAGAGCGACGCTGGCTAATCTGACTGGAAGTTGACCAACTATGGCGAAAGACGCTGATCATCTGCTAACAAGAGAAACGAATAGCACGACAACGAAGTGAAATACGAGCACGCAAGGCTGAATACTTATTTGCCAGCTGCAGGAAGCGGTTGGCACAAGTCTACCACCCAAGTCTCTTGGCACAAATCTGACGGTATCACGGCCAGATAACGGAGTTGAGATTGAAGCAAACCAACAGGATCAAAGTCTCGGGAAGCAACACTGGAACAACTTGCGGCGTCGACGGGTAGCCAAGGGAGCGAGCGAGCGGATTGGACGGGTCTGATTCGAAATTCCTCGGTTCGGCGCCGAGGAATTCTGGGGACGTAGGGCGAAGGACAAACCAAGGTGCCGGGTGAACAGCGACTAGGAGAAATAACTGGACAAGTAGAATAGCAAGAATACCAGTCAAGGTGTTTCCGTATTCCACTCTTTATATTATAATCCCTTGCCTCTGTTCAAGTCGAAATCCGAGTCGGAGGGGCGGCGGTGGCTTAGAAGCCTCCTGTTCCTATCCTTCCAATACAGACGGCGGCCGAGGGGGGGATCGGGCCGTGGGGAGAGGATGCGAGATGGCGGAATTCTCCTCAGTCCAAGTTGCCAGACTCGAATCTGACCTAGTTGCTCAAACGGGTCAGGACGAGGCGGAATGGATGAGGGAATGAATGGATAGGAAACGAGGGAGAGGAAGGAGAGAAAGAGGAGAGGGGAGGTGGTATAGAAAAGGTAGGAGGAGGTTAGAGCAGAGGTGAAAGGACTGGAGGAGAGGTCTGGAGTAGTTTTAACGAGCCGGAGGGTCAGAGCTGAGCTGGGAGCTGGGAGGAGCAGAGTGTACTACTGGGCGTGTGTACTTGGTACGGAGGACGGAGTGCCAGTACCGAAATGGAGGAGTGTGGCCCGCAGTCAAGCAGCCTGGACTGACTGGGTACCAGCAGCGGCAGCACCGCGCCAGGTGCTGCTGCGGGTATCCCACGAGTACTTAGACTAGGTGCTCCACGAGCCGTCCACGAGCGAGCCCGTCCCTGCGCCCAAGTGCGGAAGCGCAGCCTCCCCCTGGTCTGAGGTCAGAAGAGGAGGAGGAGCATGACGAGAGGGCACGAATGCAGAGGCCAACAGGACGACGGGACGAACACTGAACATTGTAGCAGCCTGGGAAGCTTCAGCGGACACCTCGACACCTCTACCAAGGTACCTGGGTACTTGTGTGCATGGCACCCGGGCGCCAGAGGCGACGAGTGGCCCGTCGGAGGCCACACTGGGGCAGCTGGGGGCCTGGCACCGGCCAGGTCCTTACCTGGAAGTAGGCAGGACGGGCTTGTACAGGCCGCAATAGCGCGTCCACTTGCAACATTTGAATTGATGAAAGTTGTGCAAGTGCTCGAGTGGGCGACGCTAATCCTGCGCTTCTGCGCGACAGCTCGTCTGATGGGTGTGGCCACAAACACCTCGACTCCAGCAAACCACCACGCCAGGACTTGGCCCACGGCCGACATGGATGGTGAGCACATCGCGGCAGCAAAACACCTCGACGGCACCAGACCCCGTTCGACTGGGGAGGGGGTGCCTTGGCTGACACCTCTTGTCGCTCGAGTGGACCGAGCTGGGCGTCGCAAACCATCACAGACTCAGCCTGAACCATTCGACCAGGTTCAACGCCAGACACGACATGCGACAGTTCCCTACCACTGTACGTGTATACACATTATTACATGCTGCTTCGTACAATGCAATATTGGAAGACTCCGTACCACTACCTGGCCTGGAGCCGACAAGGGGTTGGTGTGCCGCAACGAACGCCCGCATCCGCGTCACAGTTGTGCGTGGTATTGCACCAGATAATTGTCGGTATTATACATACAGCATGTGCGTGCATTAGCACATTCCAACATTGCCATCTCGTTTGTCTATTTGTAGACCCAGCAAGGTATTTATTTTGCCATGATGCCCGTGCTGGTGTGTTTCCGAATGTGGCTGTTTCTGACCAGGCCTGTAGGACATGGCCTCATTTGCGACCGTGTGCAAACATGCTTTGCATATCCAAACAGTGTTGTATCTATATACTAATTGGGCAGTTGCTAGCATCATGACCACCAGGTCTATGAGTGTGAGAGTTGATTATCGTCTCGAAAGCTCGACATCGATCCCGCCGCCACGCCGAACTCACCGTTGACAAGCCAAGACCAGTATTCCGCGTATCTCACCATTTGGCGGCGCGATATGGAGCACTCACGAATGATGCGCTGTCCTCCATGTAAGATTCGACTTACGCGTTTGAGATGTGTGTGTTCACTTCTTGCCCATTACCTGCCTGGTTTCATGCGCCCGATGCAGGAGTCGGACCGCCGTCAAAGATTAAAACACAGCCGCAAGCAAACACTTCAGCCGTTGGCGGTGGTTCGTGGCCGGACATCTGGGCACCGGGACGCTTATTACAGACACACACATGCAATGCATCCAAGGTACGTACATACGTAGGTAGGGCAACATCACAAACAGGAACCTGGTATCGAGATCGCAATCTGATCGCGACCCTCCCCTGACAATGCACCATTTTAGCTCACCATGCCTGGCCTCTTATGTATCCTTGGTTCCTGGTAAGCTGTCTCGAATCTAAACGAAGCGTTGATCGGGTGTTTCCTTTTCCCTCTATCCAATTATCCAATTTCCCATTTCCAAGTCGACAGGGGTTTATCAATGATGAACAATGCATAATGGCCAAAACTTTCATACAACGCCAGGCGGGGATGATGAGCAGTTATGATAGTTATGATCGGACCTAGCATAAAACACTAGTGTCTTTTGTAATTGCCTTATCCAGCATGCAATTTTGCACAGCGTCATGGTTGACCCCCGCAGACGGAAATTGATGAGCCAGGGACGGTAAAGACATCGAAGGTGAGGACCAGTAATAAAAAAAACGCAGGGCCGTAATCCGAACACCTAGTTGCTGTGAGTAAACATCACAAGCCTTAATCAATCAATACAGTCGCTTTTCGTTCGTTATATGTTTGTCATGGGCTCGTCGTAATGTTTGTTGGATCCTCAGCCCTTCAATATCGTACGTGGTATTGGCGTCATTGTCGTGCTCCTGGGGCTGTCATTTGGGTATGCCTGACCAGGCTGGGGCTAATGCAGCCACCGTTTGTGCTCCAAACCTTTTGTGCTGTGCTGCGTTGTCAGTCAACATCTCGAAATCATTCAAGGGCGTACAGAGTACAGAGTACAGAGTACATTGGAGAGTCTTTTTTTTTTTTTCCCCCTCCACTCGGCCTCTGTTTCTGGCCCGTATCTATAATACATACCACGACATCATGATGACAAATAAACAAACAAATAAATAAATAAATAAATAAGGAAAAATGATAAACCGCAGCCAAACACGAAATCCAGCCCACCATATCTGCATATCGTGCTTGTTGATGACAGCATTTGTGATTGTTGCATCATCCACACATCGCTGTCTCTGCCTGGATTCCTCCCATGTCTACGCTATCGTCTGGGCGCGGATCCGCTGTTGGGCATCCCATCGTCCTTGGACTTCGCGTTGTAGTTGTTCATGCCAGAACAGTTTTCAATTGTCTTCATGAGGCTCTGGTCCGCCGGCAAATCGTATCGTAGAAGGTGTCATTGGCTGGGTCCTCCAGTTGACACACGAAAATCTAGTCCTGTCTAGTCCGAGTTGAGTCATTATCTTCAATACCGAATCCAGACCACTTCGACTCTCAATGCTAGGCAATGTTGTCCTCAAAAAAGCATCGGAACACACAGACCCGTATTTCCTATGCCTGGGATCATTGGAAACAGTCAGCCGTATGCATTCGAGTTTTCAGACCATGTGTTCACGGCTCAAAAATGGGCGGCGTTTGGGGTGCACTAGGGAATCGTTGTTGACAAGTTGTGGCTTGACTACACCTATTGTACGGCCTAGTACGGAGTACTAGTAGTAGCAGATAAATGCAAGGCCTGGTTCTCCGTATGATCCGGGCTGTGTTGTACAACAGCGCCCCGTAATCTCGGCTTGGCTTATGTACGTGCAGTCAACAGCAGTCGTAAGGACGAATGCGGAAGCTGTTGCCCTGTGTGCTAGCAGCAGGACTGACTGTGAACTGATGCTAGATGTTTGTCCATTACAATGCCACGTCGAAATTAGATTGGCCTGTGTCCATGGCTCGAGCTGCTCAATTGAAAGCCATGGATTTTCATAGGGACATACTACTACCGCCGCGCGCACATATGATGAGTACGGAGTACTCCGTACTGAAGTAGTAAATATAGAATTGGCAGACGTGTCGGCGGAATACATGTGCTTGTGCGTGGGACACTGAAGACGGACTCAGTCGAAATGTCCAATGTTCAAACTATACATCTGGAACATTGATCCTTGGGTCACGACGAAACATGCTTCCCCTCTCTGAAGCCAAAGCTCCTGAAATTGGAAAGAGCGAACAAGAGGTGAGGCTGCCCCTGCTCTTCCAACAATGTAAGTATAGTCTCCAAGTGCTCAGTGTCAGTGCAGACAGAACCCACACAGCCACCCCCATTCTTCGTCTTCTTTGTGATAAAGTCTTGCCATCTTGCCTTCTACTGTGTACATACGTAACAGGACTTCACAACCAACAGGCAACTCCTCTCGTCACTGGACAGGGTTCGTGCGTCTCTCTCCCTCGCAGTTGTCAGGCTCTGCTGAAAGCAGTAGTCGCATGACGAAATTGGCTTTGAGGTCTCACGGGCTCATTGATTAGCATTCGGTGCATTGTCAAGTATAGTACGCGACATGCAGCACGTCTCTGGTCAGAGTCAGAGCCACCATTTACAACCGACCTTGCACCAGGACGCAAAATGTTGTATTTGTGCATGGTGTCGACCACAGGCACACGGAGTGGTGGCGGTCGTCTCATGTCGAACCAGGACGTCCTTGCAAGAAACCTCATCAGCATTTGCTCTAGCCACTGGGATAGAACGTTTGGATCTTCTCGCAGCCATGGACTGGGGCTTGTAGCTCTGCCTGCGATAACCAATGGAAGGGCTCTTTATATGTGGCAGTCGACATGGGCAGTCTGGGAACAGCATAACTCTTGCGCTACTCAACCCGTTGGTTGCAATCGACTTGTCGTGGTGCCTTGGCCCCATGAACGTTGGCAACCTCCTTCGTATCCTGCACCCAATCAAATACCAGGAACGCGCTTTGGCACGAGTGAGCGAGATCATGCGTGTCAAGATGAGCTCCTCAACCCCAACCAATCGGTGGCCGAATCTTCCTAACAAAAACCACGTCTACCAAGGCAGTGAGCGATGCCAACAGTCCCGAGCTATCTGGGCTGCTTGGCTGTATATATATGTGTGTACAGATTATAGGCTACTGACCTGGCGACATCAGTCTACATGTGACGATTACATGTGTCAATAGGACGGCCGCTTCGAACGCATTACAGTCGCACTTTCAAGCTGCCCTCATAACAACGCATCCTTACAAGGCGTCCATCTGGGACTGGGAATTGGCTTACGAAACTTGCTCTGTATGGAGCCTTCTGTTACTGGTGTTACTGGTCGACTACTGAGTAGTAGTAATCGGAGTGGCTGGAAGCCTTGCTTCCTGCATGTGCACAAATAAAGCCCTTAAGCTCTTGCCAGGCAACGATCCCTGGTATGAGCTTGGGTCAACAGGTCTTTGCCCGTTGACTGACTCGGAAGCTAGTTCCTTATCCTGCCTAGCTAGTATGGAGCCCGCTCACTTCGTCGCTTTACAGAACAGTGAGTGATCTATTGAGTCTATGAGGAAACCTTATGATACTGGCGCTGGCCTACACACTAGCTGCCTGTCGACTCCAAGGGCTCACAATCCGTTGCCGAAAATACACTTGGTCCGACAACGATTTTCAAACAAGAAACTGAGCGACTGTGAAGCGCTAACATTTCTTGTGGATAAGAGTGGCTGGTTGTTGGCTTACTATTGATTTCCTGGCTATTCCTATTGCTGCCTCGTGCGCCATGGAACCAACATCCACCCCAAGTCCCGTTGCTTGACTTCCGCAAAGAAAGCCACACAGCAACGTCGACTTGTGGCCAATCATTATTTCAAGCGATATGTTGGCCGTAAGTGAATCAGCAGCTCAATCACATTTTAGGCTGTTAACAGACCATCAGAAATACCCAACTTCAGACCGACCCTTTCTAGGTCTAACATCCAAACAAATCGCGACATTTTATTTGTGGTGTCAGCCACAGTTACCAACTCGCTTCAATTTACTCAATACAGCCGCAGTTTATTGTACCTGGAAGTCACACGAGATTGTGTAGTCTTGCTCTGTTTATGGAGTACATGACAGCTGAATAAATAGCTGCGGGCCTGACCCAAGCTGCCATCATTGCCTGGCCACAAGGTACAACCTGCAAAACGGCAAAAATTAAAGTCATTGAGCTGCAGCGGATGCTGGCCGAGAACATCACAACCAGTATAGCTACGATACACGTTGCAGTGCGGAAACCATGTCAATGCTGAATTGATAACCGACTCTGCCTTCCACAGGACATATCTCCCTGGCTTCACAGAGTAGTCATCTGCCATATTAACAGAAGGTCTTGTTTGTTGTATTGTGGAGTGGAGCTTTATTATTCAACGTCCGATGGCAGCTTGAACCTAGACTTTGGTGCTCACGAACCCACTCGTTTGGTCAGGGGAGCCAGTTTGTGCCAAGCCGTTCATCCACGCGCCGAAGATTGGTATCAAACGGTGCATCTATTGCACTAATAATCATATAATAACTAGGGAGTCGTACTCCATACACGTCTTGAATACTGGTTGCCTGTGGCAAACAAAAGGAATAGGGGATTGATCCAGGAAGAGATATTCCCGTGAGGTGCGGCTCCTGGCCTCTTTGTTTATCACTAGCACGAGATTTGCGTCACAGGAAGATCATTAGTCATTGCTCATTGTACACCGTTCGGTGCACCAAGTGTAATGGTATAAAAAGAAAGCAAGGCCAGTCACCCGTCAAACACATCATTTCGGGGAAGTACCTGGTCGACTGCGGCAGAGACAGTAGCTGGACAAGAAAAAAAAGTCTCACCAATGCTGGCAGCCTTCAAAGGGCTTACGGGACGGACAACGGAGCACTTCCTCGTTACGGGGTACTTTGATACACAATTGGTGAACCAAGCCTTTCTTCTTGTTGGGCTAACTCGACGGGGTCCTGTACAGTCTCACCTGATGGAGTCTTGTAGGTGTGCGAGAAATTGACTCTGCCAACAAAGTGGGCTTCTCTGCATTGGTCGTTTCCTTTTGCACACACAAATAAAACTCCTGCATGCACTTTACGAAAGAGAGGCACGGCACGCGACTGGGCGAGTCGGATTCTGGACGCGTTAAGTGGGAGCCATGAGCTTGTCAAAGCTCAGAAGATGGCACATCATACTACCTTGCCTCAGGGTCCATGGCTGGAGCTTATGGAGCCTCGGGTTCTTTGTTTCCACTACTACTACTGCATTACGGCCCCATAGGACGGCTTATTACAAAAGCAGCATCCCCATTTGAGAGTGGGCTCAACACCCTGGGGGCCACTTGAAACTGGAAGCGGTAGGCAAAATTTCGTCTAGTCCAATACGACGAGGATTATTTGGACCACCAGATACTTTCCGTTTATTCAAGACAAGCTCCGCGAGGGACGGAGCAGGATCTCTGAATAATCACACATGCAGTTGGGGCTCAGGGCGCGAAACAATAGACAGAGGGCAACATGCCGTCTTACCAACGAACACGAAAAGGACAGCACCAGGAAAAGTCAATATCGGAGCAAGGGGACCGAGAGCCTGAGTGACACGGGGACTTTGCAGGAGAACTCGGTACCAGGCCCCTGTGCATATCCTGTGCTTGGTTGGCCGGTGTGCGCCGTTCAAGTCTTATTCTTCACAGCGATATATTACTACTAGGGAAAAAAGATCAAATTACGCTGAAACAAGGCCGGGAGCTTGAGGGCTAAGGCCCAATCCGGAATAGTGTTCTAGAATCCTTCCCATGTAGGAAAAAAGCCACTGGGGATTGGATAGGAAGCACCACTTTTTTTGCACAATGGCGCTAATGCTCAATTGCCAGAATTATTATTAGTGCAAATACATGTGCAATTGAGCAATGGACTGGAACAGGTGCGGTGTCAAGCAGTACGCGGTCGAGGAAGGGGCCTTGGTATTAGCCCCAGACGCAGCTTCAAAAGTACAGAAGATGTACGTGACGGACGGGAGGTCAAATGACGAAGGAGCAAACGAACTGGGCAGGACGGGAGAGCCAGTGCCAGCGGGAAGGTCGACATGAGCCTCAGATGTTAGAGCGAATTGGCCCGGCAACAATGGCTCATTATCACACCCGACACTGATTTCGCAGTGCAGCGCAGCACAAGCACGATGTGAAAAGATATACTATGTATGTACATACATGGTCGGTCCGGAGAAGGAAGGGATTATTGCACGGAGCCCACTACCGAGAGCTTGTCGTTTTTTAAAACACCACACCCTTTCCCCCGCCGGATCCGTACACATGGGACCGGGGTCATTTTGTGGCTCTCGCTGTCCAAGTTTGACAGCCGGGCTATCCATCAGTTGGGATACAGCCGAACGGCAGGCCTGAGAAGACGAGCGAAGAAAAAACTTCTCCTCTTGCCCGAACCAACCTCTCAAGATGCAACAACTTCTGCGCATGCCCCTCATTATTCAGGTGGTCTAGACTTGTAGATAGACCAGGCGGTCATGGGATATCTCAATCAAACATCGCTGCCCATCGCAGACCGACTATCAGAGCGGGAAAGAGCGGCAAGGGAGTAAATCGGCGAGGCTAAAGTACGTACATACATACTGTACATTGTACCTACGCATGCATCATGCCCCGGCGGTAGGGTGGCCTTGCTGATCTTTGACATGGGGAGACGAGCTGTTGTACTCTAACATGCATGCTCCGTACACGCTGTACAATACTACGGTACATTGCCAGTAAGTGTATTGTGCCCCAGGCCCAAGTCTTGTAAGGCTCCTGCGGGCAGCCCTGTTCAACACTTGAGCTTGGGCATCACCACAATTTCGCCAAGGTGCGCGTGTGTGTCACTGCCCAGAGCAACGACGTTGAGAACGCACGAGTATGGACAGGGTACGGTATGGTATCGAAGCAAAGCTTAACACATGACACTCTGGAAGTTGCACACTCATGCCATTGTACGGAGTGCTATTTCCTCGCACCTCGGGAATTTAACTCTTTGTGGAACAAATGCAGTGACAAAGGGCCAGACATGAGATTCATATCTCGCGTGCATCCGCCGTGACACTGACTACATTAACTCAAACACATCCCCATGGTGTGCATGCCTCCGTACGGAGTAGGTGATATGGAGATTACCAGAACGAGGCCATCCAACCACCAATTTTTCAGGCTGCGGCTACGGAGTACACTCACTAGGGGTCCAAGGCAATAATGCCACGATCCTTCCGTCAAGGGGGGCTGCGATACCCGTTGTGGGAGATGTTGCAGGCCGTTTGATACGAGGTCTCAGGCTCTTTGAGCACACGTTTTGCAAAATGCAGCTTACGAGCATGAAGTTGCCATTACACATGTTGGTTGCCGCGCAAGAAAAATTGTCAAACAAATTTCGCATTATGCAGGGAACAGACCTAGGGCATCGTTTCACGTTACTTTTTGTCTTTTCTTTTCTTTTTAATTTACAGCTCTCGGCTCGGTAATCGTAGTTGCCAAGATAATCGCGAGACCTCGACCAAAGGGGCAGACACCTTGAGTTCGGTCATTGTTGCACACATGGATATTGGATCAGGGCATCATCCATTATGAGGCCAGAGCTGGGCGAAGCAGTAGACGAATGACGTCAAACAAAGCTGTTCTTCTGGCAAGCGTTTCGGGAGCTGCACAGTCAGCGACAGGTTTGATGGCTGCTAGCCCACTAGGGCATCCCTTGATGCAACGCGCCGCTGTGAACATGACTGCGCATCACGCGCGCAGGCAGGATGCCTCAGCCTGCTTGCCCGATGGCCCGGGTAGGAAGGATGTGAGGCATCTTTGGGGGCAGGGCCGTCTCGGCCAGTGCCAGTGCTGCGTGGCGGCATAGCAGGTAATACAGGAACGTGAGTCACGGGATATCCGAGAGGTGGTGGTAAGACAGATGATAGCTGGGGGAAAAGGAAGCGAATTATTTCCCTCCTGCCAGGACTCAGGAACATGTGCAGAATACATACATACATACTAACGATACCTGGTAGTTAACTTGTGCCGC